AGAGATTGCTTAAAACTCTACTTGTATTCGCATAAATGTGTATATGCGAAGAAAAGTTTAGCTTCGATGAATGTCTTGTTTCTTGATTCTTGAGCTTACTTCAACTTCAAATGAAAGTGTGCACTGAAGAGATTCAAGCCTCAAAGCCACCGTAGGACGACGAAAGCATAGTTTCTTTACGCCGGAATCGAACGAGATTGCCTCGGAAACAGTGTCGGCAAGAATGTTCCAGCAGATCAAGAAGAATTCTCCGTCTTCTTCTGATGCAATCGAAATGGAAGTAAGCTCAACAATCATGACCTCTTGTTTAGAGTTGCAAATTATACCACCCATCAAATAATGCAGCAGATGCCTACTACCTAAATCAGCAAGTAGTGTGACGAATTTGTAAAAAATAAACCACGTGAATTTGATGCTCTGATGATGCTCCTCTGACGACAGACGAAAGCGCAACACCTTTTCACCGGGATCGAAGGAGAATGCCTCCGGCGTCGTCTTCTGGTGGAATCGACCTTGCAATCTCTTCAGCCAAAACTGTTTCGCTCGAAATGGAAGCAAGCCGAACATTTTTATGAAGCAAAAGGTTCTTTAAAACACCAATATTCTTCGCATAAAAGTGCAAGAAATGTCTCGCAAAAGCAGAGCCACAAATAGCCAAACAGACTGGAAAGAGGGGTCGAGAAGCAAGACCACGAACTGGTGACTAGGCAACCGTGAAGTTGGTCGAACCGGGCAAAATGTAGGAAAACAGCGTGTTTTTGCCAACTGGCGCGCTGTGAGGGGCTCACCTGCATTCCCGGATTGCCCGGCAAGCCCGGCACGCCCGGGACGCCGGTGTTTCCGACGGGACCGCGTTCGCCCGAGGGGCCCAGGAAACCGCGGCTGCCTGGCGGCCCCGGCAGGCCAGCGGGGCCGGCGGCTCCGATTGGCCCGACTGGGCCCGGCTCGCCGGGGTCGCCCATCTCGCCCTTCGGTCCGGGGGGACCCATCGAGCCGGGCAGTCCGCGGAGCCCAGAACTACCGGCCGGACCCGGGGGCCCCTGTCGCGAGTGAAGCAGGCGAGAAAGGGAGGCGAAAGAAATGTTGTGCAAAACACCAAATGTGGCGGAAAAATGAGACTTTTGAATGTGAATTGGAGAATTAACGGTGGAAAGTAGCTTTCATTTCATGTAGGGCACTCCAAAGTTAACCTCACTGGAAGCGGAATGAGGTGTGATTGTTGATTTGTGTGAAAACATATTTAAAATATTAATTAAATATTATTAAAGTAAAAAAAATAATAAAGTTACCTAAATTTGATGTATATTTCTATGTATTACTTACGAGTAGTCTTACCTATGGAAAAAATTTAATTGAAAAAGGGCGCCGCGACTAGGAAAATGTTGGGAAACACTGATTTAAGGGCTTCTTCGAAACCCAGTTTGTCCGCATTGTTGGAGAATTAATTGACATGCTGGCGCCTCGAAGGGCAGCAGAGACGTGTGACAAAAGCAGACAGACACGACAACCGCTTACCGGAAACCCGGGCGCCCCAACCTCTCCTGAGGGTCCCAGCTCGCCGAGCACCCCTCTCGGGCCGGGGACACCGCGCAGACCAATCGAGCCTTTCGGCCCTCGTGGGCCCACATCTCCCGGGTGTCCTTTCGGCCCGGGAGGGCCCTGCAGACCGACGGCTCCGGGCTGACCCTTTGGTCCGGGCAGCCCGGTCACACCGACTTCACCGTCCAACCCTGCACGACCCTTTTGCAATGGTAGAGGGCACAGGGAACGTTTAAGGAAACTGTAAGGTTGAACGATAATAATAGCATCATTTGATATAATACCATATTATTATGCATATAGGGAGAGAAAGAATGATATAAAGTTTCGATGAATCTCAAATTCGTCTAAAAGCCAAGCGGATGCGATACAACGAGATTCAACCGCCCGCTTCCGGTAAGATTGACCTTCGAATCTCTTCTTCATACACTTCCATACGAAATGAAAGTCCCAGCAACGACAATATAAGTTTGTAACTAATATTAATATCATTATTATTAACAATAGTCAGATTACGGGTAATAACAGGAGTTTGAGTTGAAGTAAGCGTTGTAATAAGTGCAAGATTAAGACGAGCATTAATAGTAATAGTAATAGTAGTATTAATAATAGTAGTATTAGCAATACAAAGTGGAAGAAAAAGATGGAAAAGAATAGGTGAAGGCGAAAGAGAGTTAATAAGAGGTATAAAAGAAGTAAGAGAATGAGAAAAAAATAAGATGAAGAAGGAAGTATAAAAATATGAGGATGAAGAAGTGGAAGAAAGAAAATGGAAGAAGAATAGGTGGAGGAGAAAGCTATGTAAGAACAGGTATAAAAGAAGTAAAAGATGAAGAAAGAAAAGAAGATGTAGAATGAAGTAGAAGAATGTAAGGATGAGGAAGAATAAGTGGAGGACGAAAAAGAGGAAAAAAATATGTGGAAGAGAAAGGGGGTTAGTAAGAAGAAGGAAGAAGGAAGATATAAAATATGAAAAGAAGATACAGGAGGAAGTAGAAGAATGTGAGGAAGAGGAAGAAGAAGTGGAATAAAAAAAGGGAGAATAATAGGTGAAGGGGAAAGCAAGTCAAGAAGAGTTATAAAAGAAGTAAGAGATGAAAAAAGATAAGATGCTAGAGGATGTAGAAGAATGTGAGGATGAGGAAGAAGAAGTGGAAGAATAAAAAGAGGAAGAAGAAGTGGAAGAATAAAAAGAGGAAGAAGAATAGGTGAAGGAGAAAGCAAGTGAAATAAATAGTTATTAATATTAGTAGGGCAGCTATACTATTAAGAATATTGATAGTGATAACAAAATCGATAAACCTAGTAACATCTTATTATTATTATTATTATTATTAT